CTTAACCCAGGAGGCAGAGGTTGCAGTGAGTAGAGATCATGCCACTGCACTCCAGCCTGGGCAACAAGATCAGAACTCCATCTCAAAAAACAAAAAAAAAGTAATGTGACTGCGATTTTCTGGTTATAATCACAGAGTTCATTTGGAAAATCTAAGCAATATGAAAAAATAGAGTTAAAGTTTTAAAAAATTATCCCACATTGGATCAGCAAACGGTTTTTTTCCTCTTGAGACAGACTAGGCCTTGCTGTTGCCCAGCTGATGTGTAGTGGCACAATCACAGAAGACTGCAGCCTAGACCTCCTGGGCTCACTCTGTGCGCCTGCCTCCCAAGGAGCTGGGACTACAGGTACACACCCCTACAGCCAGCTAATTTTTTTTAATTGTTTTTTTAGAGGTGAAGTCTCACTATGTTTCCCAGGCTGGTCTTGAACTCCTGGCCTCAAATGATCCTCCCACCTCAGCCTTCCAAAGCGCTGGGATTACAGGCATGACCATATCTGGAGACCCGGTCATTACAGAGGTCATCAAGTTAAAATGTGTCGTGAAGGTGGGGCCCTGATCCCATATAACTGGTGTTCTTACTAAAAGAGAAATTTGTTGCCAGTAAAAGAAAAAGAAAGAATAAAATATTTTTTTCTTGAGACAGTCTTGTTCTGTTACCCTGGCTGGAGTGTGGTGGTGTGATCATAGCTCAATGCAGCCTCAAACTCCTGGGTTCAAGTGATCCTCCCACCTCAGCTTCCTGAGTAGCTGGGACTACAGGTGTGTTCCATGATGCCCAGCTAATTTTCTGTATTTTATGTAGAGATGATATCTCACTATGTTTCCCAGGCTGGTCTTGAACTTCTGGGCTCAAGCAATCCTGCCTCAGCCTCCCAAAGTGCTGGGATGATAGGTGTGAGCCACTGTGCCTGCCCAAAGGTCAATTTGCACACAGAGACAGACATGCATAGAAGGACAATGGCCAGTATAAGTCAAGGGATGCCTGAGCCAGGAGAGAGGCTGGGACAGATTTTTCCCCAGAGCCTCCAGAGAGAGCCCAGCCTGCAGACACCTGACTTTACACTTCCAGCCTCCCAACTGGGAGACAACAACTTTTTATTTTATTTACTGATTTATTGAGACAGAGTTTCGCTCTGTCGCCGAGGCTGGAGTGCAGTGGCATGATCTCAGCTCACTGCAGCCTCATTCTCCCTGGCTCAAGCAAACCTCCCACCTCAGCCTCCTGAGTAGCTTGGGAACACAGGCACATGCAACCGTGCCTGGGTATTTTTTTTTTTTTTTTTTCTGAGATGGGTTCTTGCTCTTTCCCCCCGTCTGGAGTAAAGTGGTGCAATCTCAGCTTACTGCAACCTCCACCTTCTGGGTTCAAGCAGTTCTCCTGCCTCATTCTCCTGAGTAGCTAGGATTACAGATGTGTGCCACCATACCCAGCTAATTTTTGTATTTTTTTTTTTTTTTGAGACGGAGTTTCGCTCTTGTTACCCAGGCTGGAGTGCAATGGTGAGATCTCGGCGCACCGCAACCTCCACCTCCTGGGTTCAGGCAATTCTCCTGCCTCAGCCTCCTGAGTAGCTGGGATTACAGGCACGCACCACCATGCCTAGCTAATTTTTTGTATTTTTAGTAGAGACGGGGTTTCACCATGTTGACCAGGATGGTCTCAATCTATTGACTTCGTGATCCACTTGCCTTGGCCTCCCAAAGTGCTGGGATTACAGGCGTGAGCCACCGCACCCGGTCCTCTAATTTTTGTATTTTTAGTAGAGACAGGGTTTCACTATGTTGGCCATGCTGGTCTCGAACTGCTGACCTCATGATTTGCCTATCTCCACCTCCCAAAGTGCTAGGATTACAGGTGTGAACCACCACTCCCAGCCTTGTATTTGTTTAGTAGAGACGGGGTTTAATCTTATTGGCCTGGCTGGTCTCAAACTCCTGACCTCAAGAGATCCTCTCATGCTCCCAAAATACAGGGATTACAGACATAAGCCAAGGCATCTGGCCTGAGACAATAAGTTTGTCTTGTTCTAAGCCACTTAGTTTGTGGCACTTTGTTACAGCCACCCCAGCAAAGTTATACCCAAGGAATAATCCATTTCATTGTTAAAGGACACAGAAGCTCATGCCCTCGGTCATTCATGAATGTGTAATTAGGTTCTGGCCAGGAACAGAGGCTCATGCCTGTAATCCCAGCACTTTGGAAGGCTGAGATGGGAGGATCACTTGAAGCCCAGAGTTTGAGGCCAGCCTTGCCAGCATGATGAGACCCCATCTCCAGACACAAACGCAAATATTAGTTGGGCATGGTAGCATGCATCTGTAATTCCAGCTACTCAGGAGGCTGAGGTGGGAGGACTGCTTGAGCCTGGGAGTAAGAGGCTGCAGTGAGCTGTGATTGTACCACTGCACTGTAGCCTGGACAACACAGGAAGTCCCTATCTTTTCAAAAAAAAAAAAAAAAAGAGCAGGTGTTTGATTTTGTGTCTTTGTTGTTCTTACTGTTGTTTTTTGAGATGGAGTCTCTCGCCCTGCCCAGGCTGGGGTGCAGTGGTTCAATCTCGGCTCACTGCAACCTCCGCCTCCTGTGTTGAAGTGATTCTCCCACCTCAGCCTCCCGAGTAGCTGGGATTACAGGTGTGCACCACCACACCCGCCTCATTTTTATATTTTTAGTAGAGATGGGGTTTTACCACATTGGCCAGGCTGGTCTCAAACTGCTGACATCAGGAGATCCACCCGCCTTGGACTCCCAAAGTGCTGGGATTACAGATGTGGGTCACTGTGCCCGGTCAATTTCATGTTTTGGCTGGCTTGCATCTGGCAGGTGTATGGTTAATAAACCAGGTCTAAATATCTCTAGGCTACCGGTGGCTTGGGCATGCACTGACAGCAATGTTGTGGATGGTGATACTGGCTTCAAACATGGATGAAAACAAGATCTGGTCTTTTTTCACCCAGACACTGTGGGTGAGCTGACCTAGGAGATAAAAGGACACGTACATGAGGCCATGTGTACATCCTGGGAAAGGGAACCCCAGCCCCCCTGCCACCACCCAGCCCACTTGGCCAGCAGCTCTTCCATGTTCATTATAGCTTTTGAGAGGTTCGCTATTCAAAGGAGGATGAATCAAGGAAAGTACAGGGCTGGGGCACAATTCTGTTAAACATGACAAGGAATATGCTTTGGTTCAAGAAAACCTATGGCCAGGCACGGTGTCTCACGCCTGTAATCCCAGCACTTTAGGAGGCCGGGGGCAGAGGATCACTTGAGCCCAAGAACTCGAGGCCAGCCTGGGCAACATAGTGAGACACCTTCCCAACTCCACCAAAAATGTAAAAGAAAGAGAAAAAGATGTAATTCAGGCATTACCCACCTCCAGGTAGCCTTCCTGATGGTACCATACCCAGGTGGGCTCAGGGGCAGCCTCTGTTCTCTGGGCATGAGAAGCTGCCTCCCCAGGGCGGTGGTCCCGGGTCAGCTCCTGCAAGAGTCCAGGCACAGGATGATGGTGGATGGATCAGGACCGAGGGTCAGGGATGCAGAGAGGCAGACAGCTTTGGGACACACTTGGTGAGATCAGTGGGATTTGCTGTAGGGTGACTGTCAGGGTGAAGGGGAGAATTCTGGACCAGCTGTGTCTTCATCTCTCTCTTCCCTCCAATCCCAGGAGAGCAAATGAGGCAGAAGGACTAGCGGGCCCAGGTCACCAGCTCCATCCTCAGAAACTCGAGGATCATCAAGTTCCATGGATGGGAGGGAGCATTTTTGGACAGAGTCCTGGGAATCCGAGGCCAGGATCTAGGCACCTTGCGGACCTCTGGCCTCCTCTTCTGTGTCGCTGGTGTCCTTCCAAGCGCCTACCTTTATGGTGATGTCACTCTAGTCTCTATGCTGAGTAGTTCTGGGGAAGGAGTGTGGGGGTCAGGAGGTGAGGTAGGTGGAGCCTCCCAGATCCTACCACCCTGTCCATCAAAAGCCACACATTCTGGATCCTGTTCTCTCAGGTTTCCTGCTGTCTTCTGTGTGAACGAATTAATCACATAATTCTGGTGAAGGTGGCAGCGGCTGATGAGGCCTGCTGTTCTGAGAGTTCCAGACTTTTATATGTGGGGACAAGGGTTCAGGTGCAGGTGGGCTGCAGAGGTAGAATCTGGGGTCTGAGTGGCTTCCCTGCTGCTGGTCAGCAGATGTCCACAGCCACCCTGTCACTGACGTGATCCTTGTCCTGCCATTCTGTCATTTATTTTCAATGGCTGTCAGAACACTCTTCCTAAAGCACAGCTGTCAGAAGAATTTAAACATGTTGATGCAGAGGCCAGGTGCAGTGACTCACACCTGCCATCCCAGGTCTTTGGAAGTCTGAGGTGGCTTGAACCCCGGTGGTGGAGATCACAGTGAGCCGAGATTGTGCCACTTCACTCCAGCCTGGGTGACAGAACAAGACTTTGTCTCAAAAACAAGATGAAGTAAAACAAAACAAAAGGACCACAAATGGCACCAACACCTAGAGCCCTCCCCGGCTGCTCTCCCCAGGAGTCCCCGGGCTCAGCGCTCATGTCTATCACCTTCACAGAAAAGCCTTTCCTGACCACTTTCCCCACCACCACAGCACCCCTGCTCTTGCTAATGCATTCTACACCTCCACCTGAATTTCTCTTTACTTTTTCATTTTTGAAGACAGAGTCTTTCTTGCCCTGTTCCCCAGGCTGGAGTGCAGTGATGCAATGTCGGCTCACTGCAACCTCCACCTCTCAAGTTTAAGCAATCCTCCCACCTCAGCCTCCTGAGTAGCTAGGATTACAGGCAGGAGCTTCCATGCCTAGGTCATTTTTTTTTTTTGTACTTTTAGTAGAGATGGCATTTCACCATGTTGGCCTGGCTGGTCTTGAACTCCTAACCTCAAGGGATCCATCCACCTCAGCCTCCCAAAGTGCTGGAATTAGAAGCATGAGCCACCATGCCTGGCCATGACTTGTATCCTGTGTGGCCTCCTGTCTCATCCTGTGACTTAGAATGCCTAACCATCTGGGAATGCAGCCCAGTAGATCTCAGCCTCATTTTACCAAGCCCCTATTCAAGATAGAGTTACTCTGGTTCACACACCTGTGACAAACAGGGAGGGTTATGTTCCAATAAAACTTTATTTAAAACAAAAGGTGTAGGCTGTAGTTTGCCAACCTGTTTCGCATCAGCCAGGACATCTTCCTCTTCCCAAAGTTTTGATCTAGACATCCTCCCCCAGACCCTCTCTTCCCTGCCTACCCCACCTCCTGATTGGTTCTCTGTATTTTCTCTGTGGATTCCTTGGCGCACCTGTAATTAGCTGGAGTAACTGCATTGGTCATCAAACCTGCTCCTTCAAGAGGGTCTGAGTTCCTCCCACCACAGGGACACGGATGGCACTGATAACCCCAGGGTGTGTGGGAGCCAGTGCCAGGTTGCTCGGGGCTGGCTGTCTCTCTGCACAGGGCAGCCCAGCATCTCCTTGGTGGCATTCTAGGTCTTCACGGACCTTCACAATGACAGCTCAGGCTTTGAGCATTCTGGACACATCCTGATGGGACCCATATCTCTCAACTAGTCTGTGAGCTGCTGTTACCATGATGGGCACCTGGAGCTCTCTGGCCAAAGCCGGCATAACAGTGAGGCCTTCTTGTGGGCTGGATTCCCAGGTGAGGCCTCCCTGCTCGCAGAGGTGCAGATACATGGTAAGGCACTCAGCGCACAGCCCTGGGACTGGGGAGCTAGCTTCTTCCATGCCTGGGCCAGCCAGCAGCCTCAGGCCTGGACCCAGATGGCACCCCATCAAGCCCAGTGTGGCCCTGGGCTCTGGAACAACCAGGACATCCTTGCCCATGAATGGCTTCACTCCCAAGGCAGCCAGATTAGTTTCCTAGGACTTCTGCAACCAAGTCCCACATACCAAATGGCTTAAAACACAAGAATCTTAGCCAGATGTGGTGGCATGTGTGTGTGGTCCCAGCTACTCGGGAGACTGAGGCAGGAAAATCGCTTGAGCCAGAAGGTCGAGGCTGCAGTGAGCTATGATTACAGCACTGTGCTCCAGCCTGGGTGACAGAATGAGACCCTGTCTCAAAACAAAACAATCAACAGTGGATTGAACACCCATCTGTCTTGAATGTAAAGTTATTTTTACTTACTCCATCTGTAAAGATGATTTACTTACTTACTTATTTATTTATTTAACACAGAATCTCACTCTGTCACCCAGGCTGGAGTGCGGTGGTGTGATCTTGGCTCACTGCAACATCTGCCTCCCATATTCAAGTGATTCCCTTGCCTCAGACTCCTGAGTAGCTGGGATTACAGGCATGCACCACCATGCCTGGCTAATTTTTGTGTTTTTAGTAGAGACAGGGTTTTGCCATGTTGGCCAGGCTGGCCTCAAAGTCCTGACCTTGTGATCCACCTACCTCAACCTTCCAAAGTGCTGGAGTGAGAGTTGTGAGCCACTGAGCCCAGCCAAGACCCTATTTCTAAATAAGGTCATATTCATAGGACCGAGGGTGAGGGGAGTGGGACTTCATTATCTCTTTTTGGGGTCCATGGTTCAGCCCATTATGGGGGAAAAATAAAAGCAATAAGAGGAGCCAGCATTGGCTAAGCACTTACTACCTACACGCCAGGCAAGCTGTGTACACACGAGAGCTCAGTACAGTACAGCTGTCTCCATCACACAGGGGAATGCCACAGCTCTTAAAGGGGTCTGCGAGCCAGCAGAACCCACCCCCTTCCCCAATCTCACCTCGTCTCCTGGCCCCCAACCCCACCTGTTCCATTCCTTTCTATTCTTTAACACACCAGGTTTGCTGCTGCCCCAGGACCTTGGCACGGGCTGATCCTGCCGCCTGGAATGCCTCTCTTCCACACATCTGCCTGTGTCCCTCACCTTCCTTAGGTGTTTTTCCAATGGCATCTCAGGGAGGCCTTTTTTCCACCTCCCCATTTCCTCCCACCCTCTCCCCAGTTCTGTCATTTGAACACACCATGTAGCATACAAATACCTTGGTTTCTCATTTTCTCCACACTAGAATCACCAGGATGTGTGCTCCATGAGGGCAGGGATGATTTTTCTCTGCTTTGCCGCAGGTCACAAAGCAGGTGTTGAACGTGCGTGAATGAGCATATGAGGTAGGGTTAGAAATGCCATTCCCATTTTGCAGATGAGGAATGGAGGCTCAGAGAGGTTAAGTCACTTGGCCCAGGCCACACAGCTGGTAATGATGGAGCAAGGATTGAACCCAGAGCTATTCTCTGACCCCTGTATAGATTACAGAGACCTGGCTCTTGACCATTCAGGACCCCTGGGTCTCCCTAGTCCCCTAGGGCATCTTCTGTTGGCCTCAAACTTTTTTTATTTTGGGGGCTTTGTGCAATGGCTCATGGCTGTAATTCTAGCACTTTGGGAGGCTGAGGCATGTGGATCATTTGAGGTCAGGAGTTAGAGACTAGCCAGGCCAACATGGTGAAACTGTCTCTACAAAAAAAAAATTAGCTGGGCATGGTGGTGTATGCCTGTAGTCCTAGCTACTCAGGAGGCTGAGACATGAGAACCACTTGAACCTGGGAGGTTGTAGCGAGCCAAGATCGCACCACTGCACTCTAGCCTGGTTGACAGAGTGAGATTCCATCTCAAAAAAAAAAAAAAACCAAAAACCAACAAAAACTTTAGTTTTGGCCCTCAGCCTCCTGAAGGGTGAATGGAGGACTGGATCACATGAGGAAATTGTCCCTAGTCTGAGCTGACCTCAGAATTTGTTGGAGACAAGTGATGGAGTGCTGGGAGGCCATTCTGGATGAACACTTTCACGCCGCTCTAGTTCCTGGCCCAGGATGCCTGATGTTGCTGCCCCCAGCCAGGGGTGACCTCTCCCTCCTCCCATGACTGTCTACAGTCTGATGTCCCCCCTCTTGGGGACACTTTCTGCCTGTTAACATTCTTGGTATCTCTGATAGCCAGGCGCTTCCGGGCGTGGGAATTGTGTCCCCTCCCTCCTCTTGGCCTGCACATAGTAGGTACATGTGGTTGAGTGTGGAATGAGGAAGGAAGGAAGAGTTTCCCAGGCCTCCTGCATGCCCCGCAGGTGGTCCTCTCCGATGTGTTACCCCATTCACTCTAGATGCTGACCCTTGAGGCGGGTGGGCTGTGCCCACCTTATTGATAAGGAAGTTGAGGCTCAGAGCTGCGGGGCTTATCCATCCTGCTGGCCGGATGGGAGGTGCTGGAGCCTGGCTGAGTGTCACTTGGGCCTGAGCCATCAGCTGCACCCCATGGGAACCTGGCATCTGACATAGAGTGGGCACCATCTGTTTGCTCAGGGGCTCCTGGACCCGCTGGGTTTCTATGTGTAGCAGTGGGAATTTAAGCAAAAGAAGAAACTCCTATTGTGAGCCAGACTCTCCTCTTCTGTGGGAGGTGATGGGAGGGATGGGACCCTCCAGCCAGGGCCAGGTGGCTCTAGGTGGGTATCAGTTTGCAGTGGCCCTTTATCGAGAGCAGACCTCATGCTGATTCATCTGCAGGCTGCTCAGAGAATCCCCAAGAATCCCTACAGAGAAGCAGCCTCCCTCAGTCATTCTGAAAGTACTCACTGACCCCCTGTTGTGTGTCAGGAGCTGTCCTAAGAGAAACCCCACCTCCAGGGGCTGGCATTCTCATGGAGTGGCAGTAGGGGAGCAGAAACCTAGTAAGTAAGTGAGTGAGGTCATTTCGGGATGTGCTGGGAACCCCACTCCAGGGAGATGGATTGAGGATGCCTGGCAGCAAACAATTGAGAGGAACTTCAGAGGGGTAATCACGGGAGGCTTCTTGGAGGAGGTGTCATTTCAACAACTTCAACTTCAATGAAAGGAGGAGCCACCCAGGCCTAGATCCTCAGGGACAAATGATGACAGATGATGTCAAGGAGGCTCAAAAGGGGTTGACCCCACCCAGCCCCCCATGGGAGCCTTTCCCTTTCCCGATTGTGTTGTGTTTGAGGGTCACAGGGCATGGCCCCTCCTGAAGTCTGCTGTGTTCCTGGGCTGGGAAAGGAGGTAAACCTGTCTTCAGTGACCTGTGCCAATTTCTGTCTCTGGAGTCCCAGGCCCAGGCCAACGTGGCCCTCCGTGGCAGGGACAGTGGTGTCAGCGTGGACCTGGCAGCCCTGGTGGCTTGGCCACTGCATGACCCACTGCAGATGGTGGCCAATGCCAGCCACACAGTGCTCGCACTTCAGAGGCTGGACCTGCCCTTCTCCAGCCAGGTAGAGTGGATGGGGAAGACCTCCCTCCATATTCTGTCCTCTCTGTCCAATTCCTAGGGTGCAGAGGACCCTGCTGTCTGCAGGGCAGATGGGGAGGGCCAGGCCTTGGGTTTCCCCAGCACTTTTTAGTTTACAAAGGCTTCATTTGTAATCGCTGTAACCAGGTCTGCTGAGCAGTCTCTGCCTTCACAATCGCAGGGCTGGTGTGGACGCGCGCCCTGGATTAGCCTCTTGTTTCTGACCTGTCTTTCTGCCCTGCAGTCTTGCGTCAGAATCAAAGCTCCTGCTTGTCCAGTGCCCGCCCCGTGCCAGCCCCCTTTGAAGGGTTCATGGGCATTTGTTAGTTTCATCCTCCCAATGTCCCAGAGAGAGGCAGGATGACCCCTTCCTTACCAAACGTTTTCCAGTGTTTGGATCCCACGCCTGCTGCTTGCCAGCTGTGTGGCCCTGGGCAAATTCCTTCGCCTCTCCGTGCTCTCATCTCTTAATCTGCAAAATGGGGATGATGATACTACCTATAACGGGAGGCTGTGAGGATTGAGTGAGTTAATCTCACGAATGCCTGAGTAGATGCGTAAGAAGCATTTGTTGTGATAAAGATGAAAAAGGTGAGGCTGATGGTGTGACAGTGACCATTATCATCATCAATCATCATCGTATCTGGGTCACAAGCAAAAGTGTGGGTGACTTGCCCAAGGTCACCTAGCAAGCAAGCAGCAAAATAGGGCCTCAGACTTGGTACCAGGTCCTTTCTCATGTGGCCCTCCTGCCTCGGCAGAGGAACCCACATGGGCCATGCCATGGCCACTGTCACTTGGCATGAACTCGTCCTGCCTGGCTGGCCCTCCTTCTCCAAGAGCCACAGAGTGTGTTCCAGAGCAGGCTCCAAAGCTTCTTTCACATACACACTCCTATTTCAGATTACCCAGCAACCCCTGCCCTAGTCCACTCTGTGGTGGGAGGAGGGGGTGGCTCCTGGGGGCTGAGGGGGCCAGGATGTCACCCCTCCTGCAAAGGATCTCAGCTCTGTACCCCACAACTGAGTGGGCTGGATACCCCATGCCCCTGACTTCATCTACAGTCTACCCTGGATTCAAGGCGAGGTGATGGGGATCCCCCTGGGGAGCATGTTCTTGGCTGATGTCTGGGCTGCAGCTGTCCTTTGAGTGGGCATTGCCATCCTGAGCTGCAACAGGGACCGACCCCTTGCATCCTCAGCACTCATGAGAGTGTTGGATGAGCTAGGCTTGTGGGGCTTGGGGACAGGGACGTGCTGGGCTGTAGAGCTTGGCTGGGGTCCCCATCTGGCCTGTGAGTGTCCTCCGGCTGTCTCTACCCACACACCTCACGGTCTGCTCCCTCCTGAGCTTGTGTTCCTAGGACACTGGGCAGCAGAAGAGATGAGGTCCTCGCTGCTGCTGACCTGTGATTCTCAGGCCAGCTTGGTCGTTGACGTCAATGGCCGGAACCAGACAGTCAGGCGATGCCCCCACCTACCAGGAGGAGAGGAGTCGGGGGGAGAAACCATTGGCTGGGCACCTACTGTGCACTGATGCTGGACACAGCACCTCTCAATCCTCTCCTCAGCCCCGCTGCACCGATGTGGGCAGGGAGGCTCAGAGAGGGCAAGTGACTTTTCCAAGGTCACCTAGCTATAAAAATCCCTCAATCTCTCCAGGCAGAGCACTGATGAGTTCCTGGCCTCAGAAACTAAGTGCATCCCAGGCTCTAGACACTTACTAGTGATTATGACTGCCCTTAGGGCTGGGGGCCTGGTGAGGTGCTTGGTGTTCTCAAACGTGCGCTACATCAGGCACCACCAGCCAGTTTCCACTGCTCAGATCTCAGCAGCTAGGGAGGGAGTGAAGAAGTCACTTCTTGAAGGGGTAAACCAGTGGTTCTAACTTAGGCGCAATTCCCCCAACACCCAGGGACTTTCGGCATGTCTGGAAAATTTCTGGTTTCTACACTGGGGAGGAGGACTCTCTGAGGGTCAGAGGCCACGGATGCTGCTAAGCATCTTACAGTGCACAGGACACACCCATGACCGTGAGGCCATGAGCCAAGACATCAGCTGTGCCAAGGCTGAGACCCTGGGTTGGAGAGGAACCCAACAAAAGGGTGCAGTGTCCTGGGGTTACACAGGCCTGGCACAGTGGCTCATACCTGTAACCCCAGTGCTTTGGGAGGTCGATGTGGGAGGACTGCTTAAGCCCAGGAGCTCCAGCAGCATAGTGAGACCAGTCTGGGCAACATAGTGAGACCCCCATCTCTACAAAAAGTCTTAAAAATTAGCCAGGTGTGGTGATGCTTGTTGTAGTCCCAGCTGCTTGGGAGGCTGAGGCAGGAGGATCACTTGAACCTGGGAGGTAGAGGCTGCAGTGAGCAGAGATCATATGACTGCACTCCAGCCTGGGTGACAGAGAAAGACCCTGTCTCTAGGAAAAATGAAAAGGAAACATGGAGATGATTCCCACCCTGGCCTGAAGGACTGAGGGGAGGGGGGCTATGTGAGGAGCCCTGGGAGTCAGCCAGGGGGTCACAATCCTGCTATCCAGACCCTGCTGGGGCTCCCATGGGACCAACCCAAGAAAGCTCATGGACGGGCTCATGGCAGACTTGCAGCCCAGAGCCAGGCTTAACCCTTGATACCAATGGGGAAACTGAGGCTCAGAGAGGGGCAACTGAGATGCTTGCCCATGGTGCCAGAGCTAGGTAGAGGCCAAGCTGGGATTCAAACCCAGGTCACCTGGCTCCAGAGTCCAGCCCTAACCAGGACACCATATGGCCCTTGGGCCTCAGGGTGTGGGAATAGCCCTGTATTGGGCCACTGATGTGATCCTGGCTCTCTGACCCTCTCTTGGGGAAGCTGACTTGGTCCAACCTGGCCCTGGGGGCACTGGACAAGGTGGCATCTTGCCAGCTTCAAGCCCTCTCTTTCCTTCCTTCTAGCAAAGAGCTGCTGTTCTCAGGCTGGCATCGCCTCCCCTCCCTCCTGGGCTGCTGCCCCAGCTCAGCCTCAGTCTCAGCTAAAGTAACTGTGCCCCAGCCTACTGGCTCCTAACTGGTTCCAGATGCTTGCCCCAGGTGGAAGGGAGCCAGGCTCCTCTGGGGCATGTTAACGCATGCGCATCTGTCTGCCAGCCTGCAGCAGGCCCACGTGGGCCACCCTCAGAAACCTCTGGCTCCAGCTTTCCCAAACACACCCAGGTTTACATTCCTGGGCCAGCCCACAGCCAGGCCCATGAGCCCTTTGGGAGATGGGGGAGGCCTCCTCACCCAGTGCCTGGTGCCTGGTGTTGCCTCACCCAGCCTGGCGCACTTGTAGAGGCTGGAGCTGATGATGCATCCATTTGAGCTGAGCCAGTGTCACCCCCATTTCTGCTCTGCAGGGAGAACTGGGGGGTCCTGGGAGTGGACAGAAGGGTCCATTAGACTTAGGCCAGGTTACTCTGTCCCTCTGAGCTGTCGTTTTCTATGTCCAAATCTGGAGCTACCTGCAGGGTATGCCTAGTGCCTGGCACAGGGCCCAGTGCATAGTATGTGCTCAGTAAAAAAGAGGGCATGAATGGGTGAGTGCATGCATGAATGGTCACATCTGCCAACTGGTCATTTCATTTTCCGGCCAGCCACTGCGTTTTGCTAGGCACCCTCCTAGTCCTGGCCCAGGCTGAATTTCTTTACAGAGTACATGCTATGTGCTGGGGTTCTCTGCCAAATTTACACCTGATTTTGGAGTTCCCTACACTTCGCTACAACTGCACAATCATTCAGGGAACTTCTTTCTTTCCTTATTATTTATTTGGTTTTTTGGGACAGAGTCTCCCTTTGTCACGCAGGCTGGAGTGCAGTGGCATGATTTTGGCTCCCTGCAACCTCTGCCTCCTGGGTTTAAACGATTCTCCCGCCCCGGCCTCCTGAATAGCTGGGATAACAGGCACGCACCACCACACCTGGCTAATTTTTGTTTTGTTTTGTGTTTGTAGAGATGGGCTTTCACCATCTTACCCAGCTGGTTGCAAACTCCTGACCTCAAATGATCCACCACCTCGGCATCCCAAAGTGTTGGGATTACAGGTATGAGTCACCATGTCCAGCCTTGCTTTTCATTTTTAAAATTTCTTTTTGAGACAGGGTCTTGCTCTGTCACCCAGGCTGGAGTGTAGTGACATGATCAGAGTTCACTGCAGCCTCAAGCTGTGGGGTGCAAGTGATCCTCCCGCCTCAGCCTCCAGGGTAACTGGGACTCCAGGTGGTACCACCACACCAGGTTCCGTTAAGGGAGCTGCTTAGTTTTTCCCCAAGTTTTGTTTTGAGTCATTTGAACCTATATAAAAGTTACCGTGGGACAGTGAACTTTGATCAATTGTTAATATCTTTCCATATTTCTCATCTATGTTACATAAATTGGTATTATCATACATATATTTTTTTCTGTATCATTAAGAATTAATATAGAGGTGTTTCTGAAGATGTCACTTTTTTACTCTGAAATACTTCACCTTTTTCCTATAACAAGGGTATTTTCTGATTTAACACAATAATTACAGCATTCAGGAAACTGAACATTGAAGTAATACCTTCATTTCATGTACAGCCCATATAAAATTTCCCAGCTCTCCCAATAAGATTCTTTCAAAAAACTGTTTTGTTTTGTTTTAAATCTGGGATGCAGGCCAAGATCGCACAGCACGCATAATTGCCATGTCTTTTTAAGTTTCTTAATCTAGAACAGAGGTCTACAGACTTTTACGGTAAAGTAAAATGTAGAGGTTGCAGGCCCTATGATCGCTGTTACACCTACTCAGAATTTGTCATTGTAACACAAAAGCAGCTCTAGATGACATGTAAGTGAATAGGCATGGCTGTGTTACAGTA